TAATGCAGATAAACCCCAGATTGAAGAACTGAGGTATTTCCTAGAATTTCAGGTCCCTCGAATATGGGCCCCCGAACAGGACAGATTTACGGGACAGACAAGAAAGGAACCGGTTTGCCCGTCGTTACAATTCAGCATGATGGGACAAAAGCTGTATGTCAGCCAAGAGCAAGTATGTATTTTTATTCAATATTACGTGTACCATTTCTTGCTCTATTTAATTTTAACTGGGATATTCTGAATGCAGGTTTCGGTTGGGCGAAAGCCGGTGACAGGCATGCGACTTAGTCTGGAAGGATGTAAACATAATCGTGTAAGCATCCATCTCCAGCACTTGCAGTATCTTCCCAAGATCCTGCAGCCGTACTGGGACCCACACGTCTCGATAGGCGCGCCCAAATGGCAGGGGCCCGAAGAGCAGGACAGCAGATGGTTCGAGCCCGTCAAGTGGAAAAAATTCTCCCACGTCAGCACGGCACCAATCGAGTATCCGGAGATATTTGTTGGGGATTTGACAGCGGGAGTGCACATAGTGACGGGAGCTCAGCTTGGGGTTTGGGATTTTGGGTCGAGAAATGTTGTGTATATGAAACTTCTTTACTCGAGGCTGCCGGGGTGCACGATACGTAGGTCATTGTGGGACCATGCTCCGCCGTGTGAGAAACGGGATTCTGCTTCTTGCAATAATAATAATAATAGTGTAATTGATGAATGTGGTTCGAGTTCGGGGGAGGTTTATGGGAGGAATAAAGTGGCGAAATTTGTGGACTGTTCGGAAATGAGTAAAGGCCCCAAGGACCTGCCGGGGCATTGGCTGGTCACCGGCGGGAAACTCGGGGTGGAGAAAGGGAGGATTGTGCTCNTGAAGGGTGTATTAATATTGTGTTGTTTGATCAATCAGTGGTTATAGGATTTTTCTCTAGTGACGGGATGATGAGATGGTGTTTTGTTGATTTAAATGCACAAGTCTTGTCTCTATATTTTTTTCAAGCAGTGCGTGGCAATTAGGGTTTTAATGAATTGAACGTTTGTACTTGTTTGTGTTCCACAAGAAATATCAAGCTCGCAAATGTTTGCGCGCATTAATTTAATATAATTTTGTTTTATTGTTACTTTTATATGTATTTTAATAAAAAAATCTAAAATGCTTATTTCCTTTGTGCCATGTCCTTTCCTTCCTTTTCCTCTCCTGTCCTATCTCCCTTTCTTTCGGTTCTTATTAAATAATTTAAAAACACAAAAATTTATTAAATTATTGTAATACCAACAAATTCAAATTTTGACAGATAATTAATCAAACAAGCTCGAACACAAATCATTTGAAAAATTAAAGAAGGAACAAAAACAATTAGTGTTCGAACACAAGCACCAGCTCAAAATGCCAAAGCTCAGCTCTCGTTTTGATTACACCACTAGTTAAATCAATCAAGTTGCTTGAACAGAACTCGAGCTCATTTAAAGTTCGATTAGTTAATTAGATGCGCTTGAAAGAATATTTATTAATATAATTTTATGTGGTTTGACTTGCTGAACATACAGCGGCGCGTTCACACTAGGGACGATACCATAATTAATCAGTTTCTTTTCAAGCAGGCAGGAGGAGTCACACTAGGGGCGGAGGTACTAAACATACAGCGGCGCGTTCACACTAGGGGCGGTACCGTAATTACCTCCTCCTACCTGCTTGAAAAGAAACTGATTAATTATGGTACCGTAATTACAAGCAGGACGAGGTACTGAACATACAGCGGCGCGTTCACACTATGGACGGTACCGTAATTAACCAATTCTTACCGTCCTTCAAGCAGGACGAGGTTACTTATATACTTGAGCGCGTTCACACTAGGGGCGGTACCGTAATTAATCAAATTCTTTTCATACAGCGGCGCGTTCACACTAGGGGCAGTACCCAGGTACTGAACAGACAGCGGCGCGTTCACACATACGGTACCGCCCCTAGTGTGAACGCACCCAAGTATAAAAGTAAATTACGGTACCGCACCTAGTGTGAACGCGCCGCTGTATAACTTCACTCGAATTCGACTCGTTAAAGGTTATAGCTTGAGCACCATAACCTTGAGTTCGACTCAGCTCATTTACATGCCTATTTGTAACTTTTGCATTTGCTTGTATGTACGTATCATGTTATGCACACTAATGTATCACATGTTTGGGGGACCTGGCACGTGGAGCAGCATTAAATATATATTAATTACTCTTATTTACTATCACAACATGGACTCTTTCTTTACCTTATTAGAGCATCTCCAATGCTATAAGTGTGAAACACCATTATTTTTAACACATGTCAATTAGTGATTGTAATGTTAATCCAAATTGGAATAATGTTAAGAGACTAGAAATTTCAATGAGACTAGTATCTCCAACGCATCAATCTGATAAGAAGTTCTTTGTATAGGTGGACCAATTAAATCATTGATACAAAAAAAAAAAAATTAAAAAAAATATAAAGTAAATAGATGAGTCATCATGTTTAACATGGTGTTAGATATTAGAAAGTGTGCTCAACATTGTCAACATTAAATGACATCCACCTCATCATGAAAGAATTCATGACAAGAAGCATTGGAGAAAAAATAGAGACACACTTTCAAAAGTTGATGATATGGATGACTTTTTATAATGTCAAAAGTTGCATTGGAGATACTATTAGCATTTAGTAAAAGCAATTACTTTCAACCTAAAATAAGATAATTTAAAAGTGGAAACCACTTCAAATAAACTAAACATGGACTGTTTTTGTATCTTATTAGCATTTATGGTGGACTGTTTCTGTACCTTAGCATTTATATATGTAAAAAAACTGTACCTTATCTATCGGTCAAATTGTAAGAAACGAGGTAAAATGGGTACGGTCACATGCACGTGAAGCGCACCATAAGCCGAGAAAGCCCAGGTGAAGTTTAAATGAGGTTCTATTCCAAAACCAATTGGTGGAAGGAGGAATAACCCATTAAACTTATAAGGTGGGTCTATTTTTCATGTATAAACGATGTTGGAGAACTCACAAGTGATATTTTAATACAAATAATATTCAAAAAATTGTATATGCCTGTTACATGGTCCCAGCATAACATGTTTATGTGTACTATTACAAACATATGTAAGTAGATTACAGTGTTAAAACACAAAAGATGATTAATGCTTTTATGCAAGTGTATTTTTGTTCAAATAATATAGTGAATCGAGCTGATTAATCGTTAGCTTACCCACATCCAAATTTGTGTATTTTCACTATTTGTTATGAAAATAAAGGAAAGTTAATTAGCTTTCCATATACTTATATTATTACTTCACATTAATTAGTCTTTGTTTTTTTTTGTTTGCTTTTCATGAGCACCACATGCATGATTATGAAGACCACGACATTAATTAGCATTAACTCGGCCAACTACCAATGTTCAACCAATCTTGGCTCCATTCCTCATCCAACACCACCAAGACCTCACTATAAAACCACCATTTAACTCCATTAACATAGCTCCCAAGGAAAAAAAACACAAAAATTTTTGTGTGACCTTAAAATTCCCACTAAGTATTGTGTGACCTTAAAATTCCCACTACGTATATACTCCCTCCATTTTGAAATATAAGGCGTATAAGGATTTCTCATTTTTTTTGAAATATAAGGCGCGCTCAAAAATCAAGACAAATTTTTGCATTTTTTTCCAAATATACCCTCATTGTGTTGAAATTAAGGAAGTGTGGAGTGGTTGTGATTAGAGTAAATAAGGTTAATTTAGTCAATTTATTCATTAATTAATGTCTCCTTAATATTTGTGCAATAACCTTAAATGCCTTATATTTCAAAATGGAGGGAGTAGTTAATTTTATTCAGATTATCAAAAACCCTAAAACAAATATCGGGAGTCATTTTGGTCAAAAAATACGAATGTGTTCGATTATAATTAAGCACCATACATAAGCTAGCTTATAACTTATTTTAGTTAACTTATAAATTTTTTATATTAAAATAACTTTGATTTGATTAGTGAGCTTTTCTAAAAATGGATTTTATCTTATAAGCCTTATAAGGTAAATATTAAAAAAATCCCGTTAAAATTATTATTTTTAAAAGTTTATCTAACATTTTAATTATATCAGCTAGCTTTTCAACCATCAATTATAAGTTCAAACTTGACAAGAAGCTATCAACTAACTTATTAGACACAAATTTATCAAGTCATCAAATAATTTTTCAACTGAATTTATACATCACATAGCCTAAAAGTCATTGTCCAAATTTGAAACCCGAGAAAAGCCAAAATCCGACCAAAAAAAATTAATTAAGAATAAAATATAAAAAAAAAACTAAAAATTATGAAAGGAGCAGATCAGCATTTTCGTGCGAGAATTAACTGGTCCAACAAAATAATAATAATAATAATATTTTTGTAAATAATACAATATTTTCCCCTGCACTATCCTGTATTGTCACATGAATGCATTTGTCAGAGAGAAGATCTCATTTTTATCTTGGCCAGCCGCTGCTTGTTGACACGTTCAAAAAGTAACTAATGAATGTTGTTGCCGATTACCGTTGGATCAACACACAAACGTGTATTAATAATGTATATGCATGTGATCGGTCGATTCAAATTTCAGTACCAACAAAATGCCCACAGTCGAATTCTCTGTTTTTGTTGGACTTGGAATTCAATGAATCTTTTTGCAAGAAAATTTACATTAACAAGTTGGATCAACACACGGTCGTGTGATCTGACGGTTCAAATTCCTGTCAAACATTTTTTCTTTTTCCCAAAAAAAGAATAAAATAAAAAAGTAGGGATTTTCGAAATTCGATTCAAAACCTCCAACCAAGATACAAAATAGGTGTTTGATGCCATTAACCAGAAGGCCAGCACAGCATTGAATAAAAACTCAACAACCCCCCAACCACAACTCAGCCCCCCTTCATAAATGAAATATATAGTAAAAAATAAAAAAAATGAAAAACAAAAAATAACCCTAAACCCCAACTCTATTTAAACCCAACACCAAATACTCCAAACCAAACTCATCCATCCATAAACCATTAAGAAAAAAACAACATAAAAATGAACAAGGCAATATTGTGTGTGGCTGTGGCTCTGGCTTTGGGTGCCGTACTTGCTCCGGCGTCGGGGGCCGCGGTCACCTGCGAGATGGTGCAGAACACCCTGATGCCGTGCCTCAACTACGTGTTTTACGGTGGGGCTGCGGCCCCGCCCAACAACTGCTGCCAGGGCATAAAGGGGCTTTACAAGCAGGCAAGCGCCACAGCCGACCGCCAGACTGTCTGCTACTGCCTCAAATCGCTGGCCGGAAGAGCCCCACAGACCGTCATTGCAAACGCCGCCGCCCTCCCCGGGAAATGCGGCGTCCCCATTCCTTACAAGATCAGCCCCTCCACCGACTGCGCCAAGTACGTTGC